TTCTTGAGACCTCAAAGGTATCGTTTATAGAACTGGCACCTTTGATTGTTCTTATCAGTGCCGCTATCTGGGTGTCGATTGGAAAAATATATAGATAGGCAAGAACGGCTGCTATGTTCAACCATCACCTAAAAAAACAGTTAATCGAGCGCCGTCCACGTGCACGATTGCTGCTTAATTATTAGATTTGGATATGTTACCTTTCGAAACAAAAATATTGGACATTGGCTCGGGACTCTGATTGCTTTCTTCCTGACTCTAGCTAGCTTGTTCTTCGTTCGTGGTGCAAGTGGGATCAGATTTATAAACCAAATGTTGACTTTCCAGGGATTAACTTTACTTTTCTGACTACTTGGCAACTACTACTAGAAGGAACAAAACATACATTTGGCCGGCTAGCCAATCAACCATTCCATGTCATGTCGTCTTCTGCCTGTCGTGGGCACATAGATATGTACTACTACTACTGCTGCTGACTCTTCTTCGTCTCGTGTCGATCGTTGTTTTGATTTGACATAATCTCAAAATTCTGATCCATTCTAAAACCCGATTGAGTTAGGCCGTGTTTAGTTTTTTACCCAAATTTTTTTAAAATATACGGACACACATTTAAAATATTAAACGTATAAACTAATAACAAAACAAATTACAGATTCCGCATGTAAACTGCTAGACGAATTTATTAAACCTAATTAATCCATCATTAGCAAATATTTACAGTAGCATCATATTATCAAATCATGACGCAATTAAGCTCAAAAGATTCGTCTCGCAATTTACATGTACAGTGTGCAATTAGTTTTTTTTCCACATTTAATGCTTCATACATGTATCCAAATATTTGATGTGACGAAATTTTTAGAAGTTTGAAGAGAACTAAACACAACCTTAGATTTACTCATCGTCGTTTAGGAAAAAGTTTGACTATACCCATCGGATTATTCCCGCGGCGGATCTTGATTATATGAAAATTAAATATTTTTAGAAGTAAACTTGACAAATAAGTTTAGAATAAGTGATCTAAACCATGCAACAAAAGTTTTTCGTTTGGAAAACATATTTTTAGAGGCATACAGCAAACACTGATTTGTTTTACAACACAGGCATACAACAAGCATAGTTTACACGCGGACATCTGAAAGTAGTTCGTGTACTGAATTGTACCCATCTTTTAAGTTTGTGCACCACTAGTATAATTTACTTAAATATATAATATATTATTATAATTGTGTAGATAATTCACTATAATAATCCAGTGAACAATCTATTTCACATAGGGGTCTTAATTAGAAGAAATATGCTTGACCAAGCATGTCTGATCAGTTTTGTTGGTGCCTATGCTTGCAGCGGAGAAACTAATTAAAACCAGCTTATAGTCTAATAATTAATATATTTTTCCGAAGAACAATTAGTATGCAACAGATGGGTACCAATTTGATGAACATGCATATATGGTGACCACTAGCTAGCTTCACGTGCATAACATCTCAACTCTCAAGGGTTAATGAGTTAGCAAAATCCGGTGAGACGTGCATATGAATATTTAAGAGAATATATGTAACTACAAATTTTTATATGTGTGTATGTGTGTGTGCGCGTGTGTATATAAGGTGTAGGGCATCCACAATATAGTGCAAAAATAATCTATAAGTAATACAATATTTCATTCAGCCACATAGCAATATTGTGTAACTAGTCCATAGCAAAGAAATAACAAAAGCTACCCATAAACATATGAGTTGCCTATAGAGAATAAAATATGTTATTTGTTTCTACTTTCTCTCTCCTCCTAATACTATTTACTATCTATATACTCTCTCCAGTTTTATAATTTTTGACGTTTTGAAGAATGACAAGGTCTTTAAAATATATATTTGACCTTGTTTTTATATTATAATATATACAATAAATAAATGCATGTTTACTTTTATTATAGAACTTTAAAAGATAAATCTATATACGATGTTCTAGTTCTTTTAAACTAAATACTTTTAAAGTTATTGATAATCAAAGTTATTAAAGTTTGACTACAATCTTGTCCAAAACATCGATAATGGAACTGAATTAAGGGAGTACATTGTGAAGGTTACTATAGTTAAAGCTCATATATGTTGATCCCATCTATACGGACTACTTTTGTTATATACATTGTTGTTGCCATAAGGCCATGTACAACACGTGACCCTAGCTTGTGGTCTCACGACTCCACGTCGGAGCCGAGCCGAGCTGGCACGCCTGCTCGTGGTCTCGCAGGCGCGCAGCGAGCTTGTAGAAGAATCGAAGGAAGCACCGCGCCTGGGCTCGCGAGCCATGAAGCCACGAGCCAAACCCTCACGTTGGAGGAGTCGGAGCCCCAGGCGTCGCCTCGTCCGGTCCCCCCATGCAACTGCCCCAAATCCCTCGGCGGCGGCGCCAGATCCGCCGCCGCCGCCGCCGTGGTCGTCGTCGTGGTCGTCGTCGCCGCCAGATCCGCCGCCACCGGTGCTCTCTGCCGCCGAGCTCGCGCCGGAGAGGGGAGGGGAGCAGCCGGTGAGCTCCCCGCCACCAGATCCGTCTCCACCGCTGCTCCCCGTCGCCGCCAGACCCGCCACCACCGCTACTCCCCGCCGTCGACCTCGCGCCGGAGAGGGGAGGGGAGAAACCGGCAAGGGGAGGGGAGAGGAGAAGAGAACCGAGCGACGCGATGCGGCGGTGGAGAAAAATCGAAGAGAGAGAGAGAGAGGGGAATAAAAAAAAGAGGGGGATGGGAAGAGGCTGACAGTGGGTCCCAAGTTGTTTAGGGGTGTACATATATTTCTTTTAGTTACTGTAGGGTTCAAAATATAAAGTTTCAATAGGTTTTATAATACAAAGGCTGATATATAAATAGATAGGGACTGACATGCAAAATACGTTTTGGAGTGGTTTTCACTGTGGGTAGTGTGACCTTTGTGTGGTTCTATCCTACGTGGAGTCTTGAGACCACAGTTGCTTGTGGCTACCATTGTACATGCCCTAAGAGCCTTAAGTCTGAAAATGTTTTTTTATATACCTCATGATGCATGCTTGTAATTCACTTTTCCCCTGATGATAATAGAATCTCAGCAGAGAATAAATGAAATGAGACATAGTATAGTCAAGCCTACACACAGTCAAAAGCCGGTGACCCAAGCTGATGCACATGCCAGGGCCAACAAGCGTATGTAAACTATTCTCAACTGTATGAAATATTAATTCTCTATTCGCACGAAAAACGAGAATTAATTAATTAATGTGGCGTGAAACACGTGCTCCATTTGCTTTTTCCATTCTGCAGATTGGACCGTGGCGGTTGGAATTTGCCATTTCTGGGAAGTTGCGAGAGTATACGTTGTACTACTCCTACTACAACAACATATACACGACACTGGCCGGAACAACAAGTAGCACTGTCTGCATCTGAAGTCTGCTAGATTTCCATGCTTACGTATTTGTCAAAAGTCAAGTGTGCTGGCTGTGTGCAAGTACTAATAATCTACTACCAGTATTCCTGATCGCATTTTTTTCTTTGTTGTGTATGCATGTAGTCCATCGATCGCCCGCTGTTTGGTCAGTAATATAATCTACTCTTTGGAACTGAAAAGTATGTACTCAATTTAAATTTTGTACTAGCGCCCGTGTGCACGTTGTTTCATGGGCGCAAAACTTGACCTGCGCCTAATAAAGCAAAGACTGATGAAAAAACTGTTTGCGCCTTTCTACACGCAACGCGATCACAGCGATTTGATTTGTCGTACCGTAACTAATTTTGTGCTTGATCTCTGTTCATCACTTCAGTAGGGTGCTGATTTTTTTTAACCAGCTGTACGTACTTATGGATGCATATAATTAAGCTACAGGAGTAACCGAACTTTTCTAAGCAATAGAAAATTTTGTGGAAAAAAAAAGATTAGACACCTGGAAACAATACATTCCTTTGCATGGTGCGGTGTATAGTGGTGGTGTATTGCAGGTGATTTGCATGAGATCGACAGAGCAAGGTACATTGCACGCTGCTGTCTTCCTGATAGGATCGTTTTCTTCACGTTATTGAAATACGGCGCATCCGGCGTAATTCCTCTGTCCTAAGAAAAAACAAGATACTTTTTCTAGTATAACAAATTGGATAAGAAAAACTCTCATCAATACTAGATTGGTCTTTTGTGAATTCCCTCCATCCACAGAAAAATGAATCTAGCTAGGATTGGATATGATACATTCATATTCATAGTATTAGTCCGATAATATGTTGTTTTTTATAGGACAGAGGGAATATGTATTATCATATCTTGTGCAAAAAACAAAAAGTAGTAGTCTAGTCTAGCATCCACCGTTCCACACGATACGGACTCATCGTTTCGCTTATTCGTCGAATAAGTCAAACGGTATATTTGTAAACGAAAAATAATTTGTGAATAAAACTTTTATATATGTGTTTTTAGCGATCTAAAATCAAAGATTAAAAAATAAACTTCGATGAAAAAAATCTCAAATCCAGTTCTAAATTCAAGATTAAAAATTTAAATTTTAACTGATAAATATAAGTATAAGCGAAAAGATAAGACCTTATATGCAACTGGCCGCCTACTTGGCAAACAGAAAGTACAGGTTCATCCCACTGCCTGCCTACTTGGCGCATGCCCAGGTCAGGTGGGTCGACCGTCGACGCCAGCCAAGTACTCACGTCGCGTGCGAGCAAATCGAGCTGCCCACACCAAAACCACGCCCGTTTTTTTATTTTCAACCGTCTTTTGCAAGTTGCGCCCGCGCGAACCAACGTAGCAACAACATACGGCCGCTGCGTTTGCGTGCCGCTGACCACTGGACTAAAAGCCAGCCCACACAGGCAGAGGCAGCCGCATGTTTGCTTTGACTACGCACACGTACACGACTTGTTCACTGCCATATGCCTCTCCCCAAACGTGCGTGCGGCGTCGCGTCGCTCTCGATCGGTTTGATTTCTCTCCATCCCTAACTATATATGCGCCACCGCGTGCGAGGCTAGCTCATCATCCATCCATCTCCCTGCAGCTACGTACTGTACTTGTTAGCAATCAATCCCATCAAATCATCCACCGCTCGCTGCTGCTGCTACGTACTATACAGCTTGATTAATTAGGTTTTACGACGACGGCAACGGGGACAGATATGACGGCCGCCCTGCAAGCGCTGCTCGACCCGACGGCGCTGTCCTTGGGCCTGCCCACGCCGGCGATCAACAAGGAGGAGTACCTCGCCATCTGCCTCGCCGCGCTCGCCTGCACGCGGGCGGGGAAGGCCCTGGTGGGAGTGGGAGGCCAGCAGCAGGTGCAGGCCTGCAATAAGTGGCTGTGCCCAGCGCCCGCGGCGCCTGAGGAGCTCCGCTTCCGGTGCACCGTCTGCGGGAAGGCCTTCGCCTCGTACCAGGCGCTCGGCGGACACAAGTCCAGCCACCGGAAGCCGCCTTCCCCGGGAGACCACTACGGCGCCGCCGCCGCGGCGCAGCAGCTGGCATCCGCTGGTGACTCGAAGGAGGACTCGGCGTCGTCAGCGGCCGGGAGCACTGGCCCGCACCGGTGCACCATCTGCAGGAGGAGCTTCGCGACGGGGCAGGCGCTCGGCGGCCACAAGCGCTGCCACTACTGGGACGGCACGTCGGTGTCCGTCTCCGTCTCGGCGTCCGCGTCGGCCGCCTCGTCGGCCGTCAGGAACTTCGACCTCAACCTGATGCCGCTGCCGGAGAGCACAGCCGCCGCCGGGATCAAGAGGTGGGCGGAGGAGGAGGAGGTGCAGAGTCCACTGCCGGTCAAGAAGCTCAGGATGTCCAACTAATTCATCATACGCCATCTTGTAAAAACAAGAGATCTGCCCATTGATCGACTCTATTGAACAGAGTCTATTCTTTGATTTTTTTTTTCTTTTCAACTCACTAATTGTTTGGTTTCTGTCATCGAGTATGCAACAAGCTAAGCTGGTGACCATGGATCTTCCAAGATTGATTGTCGCCAAGGGACATATATGGTTCTAGGAGTGTTGATTCATTTGATTCTTTGTATATTTGTTCAATCTAAAAATTAATGTACTCAATCTGCTCAATATATATAGACGCTATATTATTACGACTCCATCTGCTCTGTTCATTTTCTTCATTTTATATTTTAATTTCCAAAAGTAAAATTTGATCATGATTTGTCAACCTAAAAGTATAATGTTTTCACACAATATTAGTTTTATAGCTATCACCAACGGTTCAAGTTTATAATCTAGCTTAATGTCCTTTTCAAATAAAAATATATACCATATAAGGAGGACACTTAATTACTTGATGTTTTAGATAATAACACCGGCTTTGGCGCAATTTTTTTCATCATTTTTATTTACTATATATTCATAAAATGTAAAATTTAACTATATAAAAAAGTGATATTTAGACATAGCTACTAATATAATTTTTAAATATCAAATTTAATAATGATATCACTGTGAGTCTCTATGTGGCCTTTGTTAATGGACAGATTAAACACAAAAGATTTACTTTAGAGAAAACAATTCAACGCTCAAGGAGGAACCTGATGTGTAACATGCAATATGACAACCGCAGAGTACTCTTTACACCTCTTTTTCACATGTCCCTTTGCTCAAGAATGCTAGAATTACACTAGCCCTAAACTGGAATCTAAACATGGAGTTCATAAAACAATATACACCACAAGAAACAACTTCTCACACACATCCTTCATGGAAGTTATAGCAATCGGGTGTTAGAATATTTGGAGCAAAGAAATGATCTCATATTGAACAATGTGCAAGTTAATTTCGTCAAATGGAAAGCAGATTTCAAGGAGGAATTTAGTCAGCATAAGCATAGAGTAAAAGAATTAGACAAACCCTTCTGGCAATCATGGATACACAATGTTACTTAATCTATTCTTTTTTGTAATCTCTTTTGTAATTTCTTCCATTTCTTCTTCTTCTTTGTAAATCCTTTCTGTAATCTTTTGTGTAAATTTTATATCATTTTTAATATAGCACAGTAGAAGTTTATTCTGCTGTTTATACCATCAAAAAAAATCTAATTTAATATTTTCCAACTATTGAAAAGTAATATTTTGAAGTCCGGTAGCACACGAAAAACTCATATGAAGAACACGCAACAACCTAAATTTGGTTCCTTCTAATAAGTGTGTTTTCATTCCTGCATTTCAAATGTTAAAATTCTAAACCAATTTATTTTATTAACTCCATCTTTTGCTCCTCAGCTTATCAGTCGCCACCAAAATTTAATGTTTTAAACATAATTTTAGAGTTTATTTTGATGTTTATAGTAGTTTATTTTACAGCATTGGCTTTAAGTCACTAATAACACATATATAAAATTTTTCCACAAATAATTTTTTAGCACCATGGCTTATAATCAGCTATAGATTTTACAAACATTGTAAGCCTAACACAGACTTCCAAAAATATGTTGTAGAGGGTGTTTGGCCTGTCCAAAAGTTCAGGCAAGCTTCCATGTTTTCAAAATTTACCCTAAATCATGTCCCCTAGCTATTCACCTTCCTTGATGAATATAGTGGCCAGACCATAACTTTTAAGGGAGAGAAGAGCGTGGGCTAGAGGCTCAATGGGTGGATGCAAGGTGTACACCGGGATCAAAGGGGGAGAAGCTAGCTAGGGTGGTAGGGAGTGTAGAGTTGGGAGACAATGGACACAAAAAGGGAGTTGTGGCGAGAGAAGGGGAGAGAGGAGAAGCTAGTTAGGTATGGGATATGGTTGCGGCAGTGTTGAGATAGGCGAAGGGGAGTGAAGAAAAATAGAGAGGGCTGATAGTTATAACTCTGGATCATGTTTAGATGCTAGTACTCCCTCCGTTCCAAAATATAAGGCACAACCACCCTTAATCTAAAGACCAAGAAATAATTATTATCATCTTGTAGTTTGGATCATCACAATAAATATAATGCATGCATCCAATAGGATTAAATAACATGAGACTGGAGGATTTAAAAAAGTAATAATTTAATGGAGAAGATGTCATAGTTAATTGCATGCTTGCATGCATGCCTTATATTATGGAACTTCTAAGTGGTTGTGCCTTATATTATGGAATGGAGGGAGTATAAAATATGTAATAAATTTAAGCTAGAACATTAGCTTTGATCATGTTGTTCAATATAGAGTGAATGATCCTCTAATAAAATTATCTGCAAAAATATTTTTACTGATGGGTGCAGTACGTTTTGAGAAGCTCTCATCATGCAGCAGCCTTAATCATGGACGGTGTTTCCAGAACCATTTTTGATACACTTTTCTGAGACGGTTATAGGAACGCGTATATGTAATGAGGCATCTCTCGTATATGTTGCTTTTCCTTTTACAGTGAGTAAAAGATGGCAATAAGACGGAACTTGTGGATGTGGTCAGACAATTATAACACGCCCATAGTTGATCTCAAGTGAGTTTGCTATATACGGCGGGGCCCACTCCCGTAACCCCGTTCTGATCTACTACTTGAAAACTTCCTAGCAGCATCATATCCGTCCTTGTTGACTGATGTCACTTTCGTGAACCCTTCGATCTATGAAAAGTCAAGTACTATATAAGTTTAACAAAACGTGCCACTCCCAAGTCCTAAATAGGAGCAAATTAAATTAAAGCAACAGGTACCACGATGCTAGCTATATATAAGACGAGAAGAACGTTAACACTAGCTAAGCCGCCATGCATGATTTGTACATGTTTTATGCATGCGTACAAATATGAAATATTATATTACAGTCGTCAGAAAAGTGCTCCGTTTTTTTGTTAATTGGGAGTAATAAGTATTGAAAGCAAAATATGCGTCGCCACTAACTGTGCTAGCTAATTCCGGAATACCTTTTGCTATATTTTTCATTATGCAGATTAGATGGGCAATATTGTTCATTGGATACGATTAATCTACTCCCTCCATTTTATAATATAAGGTTGATCAAATTTATTGAAAACACAGTAGTATTTTCAACACAAAACAAACATATTATTAAAATATATAATGCAACTTTAGATTTAATAAAATTAATTTGATCTTTTAGACGTTGGTATTTTTTTTAAAAAAAATGATCAAACTTTAAAAAATAATTTACTAGGAAAAAAATCAAAAATAACTGATAATATAAAAATGAAGAGTGAAGTGCATGGGCGGTCTCTAAATTTGTTCAGGTGTGTCACTAAGGTCTCTGAACTCTCAAAATAAATTTTTGAGTCTCTCAACTTGTCTTATGTATCATATAAGTCCAAATGAGCTCTAACCCGCTTTGTGAGAAGACGTGGAATACCACAGTGATGGTTACGTGTCAGTGGGATCCACATGTCAGACACATAGAAAAAAATGAAATTTAAAAAGAGAGGAGGGAGAGAGAGAGAGAGGAGAAAATGATGTTTTTAAATTTGAAAAATAAATGAAAAAGGAAAGGAGAAAAAAAATATGTTCTTAATTTTTTTCTATATGTGACTGACATATGGGATCTACTGACACATAGGCATCACGATGGCATGCCACGTCAGCACACGTAGAGGGTTGGAGCCCATTTAGACCCACATGACACCCGAGATAAGTACGACGGATCCAAAAATACATTTTAAGAGTTTATGGACGTAGGTGACACACCCGTACAAGTTTATGGACCACCCATGCACTTTAGTCTAAAGTTTTTTTTGAGAGGAACTTTACTCTAAAGTGAACAGAGTATATCGCAAGTTATTTTGGTTTTGACTTTTGCGGATAGCTCAATTCCAATGATTTATGGATTAACCACGCAAAACTTCAAAGTACGGCAGAATGATTCCGAAGGTAAAAATGACTGGTCATACATTTCTAATCAGTAATAAGACATCAAAACTCAATTTAAATGGCACGTGCCAGTTAGTGGCGACGCATGTTTTTCTTATGTAAATTATCAGAGGGTATAGACGTTTGACTAAATTAGCATGCTTGCTATTCGTATGCTGCCGAAGGGAAACTCTTAGCATTGGAATTCAGGGCACAGAAAGCAGTACATCACCGAAGAATTCGAATTAGGAGGGCTCCTCAGGATTGGAATGGTTACATTCGTTTCATTTATCCGTTGAATCTCTTTATGGATCGCTCCAAAGTGTAAATAGACCAAATCGAATCAAACCATTGAAACCATTCGATTCAAAATGACTCACATGTATAAATGATTTAAATTGTATATATACTTGCTTCTCTGTATACAAAATTTAACTAAATCTAGCAAGTTATATATTATAAACGTGAGTTTAAAAATTTTGAGTCCAAGTTTTACATACATGCATGTACTATGAATTCTTGACCTATTAGTAATGCTTAAGGATCCCAAATGTATAAATGGCTCAAATTTTTACAAAGTTATTTTTCATTATAACAAATCATCCTTAAAAGAATTAACTGAATTTGACAAGTTTTTATAATAGTGTAAAAGTGAGTTTAAAAATTTTTAGTCAGAGTTTTGCACACATGTAATATGAATTTCTCGGTTTATAAATAATGCAACTCATCCATTTGAACATCGATGAATAACCTATAAATATAATAACTCATGGTGGATTAAACATATAAAACAATATGGATCAAGAAACTCCATAGAAATGGTTTAGGTTAGATCCATATCTTAACCGTTCCGGACAAAAATCACCATCACTATATTATAAATTCATTGTCCGGCCCGACACAACAGGATGCATTCATGGATGCGTGCATGCATCTCTTTCAAGGTTCACGTCCGCCCTCGTGCTACTTTGACCCATGACTACTTCTCTCTCACGCCTTTCTTCGTCCATGCATCTACGGATCTACCAACTCTGCCACACAAATATATATACAAACAAGCATTGATGCATGTATTATATATATGTTCGATCACTCCCACACAATTCTCCAAACCAAGAGCACATAACGTATCCAGGGCAGAGCAGCATATCGATCTTAGAATTAGCTTTCAGTTCACGCGCATCATACAAAAATGGTGACCAACATGACCCACGATGACTACGTCTCCCTCTGCCTCATGGCGCTCGCCCAGGCGGGCGTCGGGGGTCAGTGGCCGGCGCAGAAACAGCAGATCGACATGGCACCGCCGGCACCGG